TCCTCTGCAATCACCAGGGACTCAGAGGTTGGCTGCCTTTGAGATGCTTGAGGCCAGGCCACCTTGGGTTTCACCAGACGAGGATTTACCCTGGCTCCTTCCTCCAAACCGAACAGGTCCTCGCGGATGGGTGGCAATGCAAACGTAACTGGGGGTTTGCAGGGAAAACCCAGATGCCCTTCCCGGTGCTGGCGCTCCCCTGGGAGCAGCCTCCTGCCAGGGTGGCCACCACCCTGGAACAAGCCCTGGCCTCCAGCATTGCCACCTTCCACGAGTGCTCGGGGAAGGAGGGTGACAAGTACCAGCTGAGCAAGGGCGAGCTGAAGGAGCTGCCCAGCTTCGTGGGGGTGAGCGTGGGGACACCCAGGACCAAGCCCCACAAGCATCCCCACGTCTCTCCCCACCACTGGGGAAGATTTGTGGGTCAGGGAAGGGCTCGCTTCTCCCTGAAACACGTCCCCCCCCCATCTGCCGAAACCACCCGTTGCAGTTGATGCCTACTTGTGCCACGGCCGGCAAGCGCCATCCTTGACCCCGCTGATGCTCTGTGCCAGGAACAACTGGATGAGCACAGCTTCTGGGTGCTGCTGAAGGATCTGGATAGACAACACGATGGACTTCAAGGAGTACTTTGTCCTCCTGGGCTGCCTCAGCATGTTCTGCCATGAATTCTGTGCTAAGGCTTATGGCCCCACCAGCCGGCATCGACCCCACGCCCGTGGCTCTTTTTTGGCTCGAATAAAACTGCTGTCACCTCCCCAGCCCCGCTGCGGAGCCTGTTCGCTTGCATTGGGGTCACTGGGATGGGAGTGCTTGGGACCGTCTGTCCTGGGGAGACCAGGCCCCCCTCATCCAGACGGTGTGGGGGACAGTACAGCGATGGCTTAGGGGGGGACGTGGGCTGGTGTCCAGCTTTCTCGGGGGAGCCCCAAGGGATGCCCCAGCCCTTCCCAGTCCCCGCACCCATCCCTTGACTTGTGCCTCGGTCCCCAGACTCCCCAGGAGGCCAGCAACTCCTCCCAGCAGCACCCAAACCCACCCACCTCCCACTAATGGGATCACACAGCTCGTTAGGCAAAAATGAGGCGGGGGTGAAACCACCTGTACGGAGCTGCTGGGAAAGCCTGGAGGCGAGGGGGCTGCATGGGGCACGCTGGGCAGTGCCACCCCAGCTGGGCTATAAATGCCCATCGCACTCCAGCCGCAGCACCCTGTCTCCTTGCCGCTGCCCGATCTGCGCCGACCCCGGTAAGTCTCTGCTCCCCTTCCTCATGCGTCACTCGTGCGGCTTTGCTCTCAATTCACCCAGCAGTCACTGCATCCCGAAACGCCGTCCCCGAGAGGCGCCGGGGTTGCAGTCGCCCCTCTGCAACATGGTGGACTGATTTGGGCAGGGTGGGGGAGATGGAACCCTCTTGCCCCCTGCAAGCCTGCCGTGACCCCATCCCCGGTGCTCTGCCCTCCAGGTGTGCAGGAAGCTGGCGATGGCATGTTCCCTGGAGCAAGCGCTGACCGTGATGGTCACCACCTTCCACAAGTACTCGGGAAAGGAAGGGGACAAATACAAACTCAGCAAGGCAGAGCTCAAGGAGCTGCTCAACAAGGAGCTGCCTGTCTTTGGGAGCGTAAGTGGCCGTGGCGGCGCATCCCTTTGCATCCCTTGGAGGTGCCCCGGTGCGGGCGGGAGGTGTTGTAGGGGCAGGAGCAAACCAGCCTTGAATCTTTCCACATAGCACGGTGCAAACCGGGGAGAGCTGAGGTGGTTTCTGAATTTCCCCAAAGCACGCGCGACGGATGTAGCCTGCGTGCGACACGCTGAGACCTCGTGGCTCCAGGGCAAGCCCTGGGGAGAAGGAGGGACGAGGCCAGGGGGACCTGAGCTGGAGCATGCTCAGACCGAAAGGAAGCTTGGCTTTCTTACACCCACAGAAATATTTTGATTGGCAAAGAAAATCGTCCTCCGATTTTAATTTTTTTAATCCTTTTTTAACCCCCACTTAAGGGGAAGTTGGCTTGTGGTTTAGACGGGGAGGAGGGAGGAGAAATTTTTTAGCCAAACTTTTTCGTGACCGAGAGGCATATTTGCTGTAGCCGTGCCAGCATGCCCCAGATCACAGGTAAGCCACCTGCATTTCTAAAGGCCACCTCCTTCCAAAGGCAAAAAGAAAACCCTCCTTCGAGGCAGGGGGAGGGAAGCCCAGGCTTTTTACATCCTTCCTTGCCAGCAGCAGGGCTGGACAGGGAAGCACCTTGCTCATCCCTGCACCCCAAAATTGCTTACCCCCACCGCGCTCTCCGTCCTTGCAGAAACAAATGGACGAGGCGGAGTTCAAGAGGCTCGTGAACGACCTGGACCACAACAAGGACAACGAGGTGGACTTTAAGGAGTACGCCTGCTTCCTGGCCTGCATCACCATGGGCTTCAACGAGTTCTTCAAGGATGGCCCTACCAAGCAGCCCCGCAAAAAGTGACCCCCGCTGCCCACAGCATTGCCGTGGGGCTTTCAATAAAAGCTTTTCCAAAGCCTCGGTGTGCATCAGCAGGGTTTTGTGTGCCGTAAGTTAGCGGGCAGCTGGGTGACTCATGTCTTCCTCCAGCTCCGTGGGATTTTCCACGGTGCGACTCAGCCCCGGCAGGCATTTTTTGGAAAAGGCTGAGCAAAACAGCTCAGTGCCGCCTCCGAGCAACATACTCGGACATCCCCCCCAAACCGTCCTTGCTGGCTCGAGGAGAGGTTCAGTGCACGTTTAGCTCAAAACATAGGAGCTTCCCTGAGCCCAGCTTGGCTCGTAGGTCGACATGAGCTGCCCTGGGCAATGCATTGGGTTTGGGGAGAGAAAGCTGGTCCGGAGGAACTGGACAGCAAGATGCAAGATCCGTGCAAAGCACAAAAGCCAGAGTGTGTCCCCAATTCCTGCAGAGAGGAGCTGTTTCTGAGCAGCGGGAGGAGACCCTTAGCCCCCTTGGGATGGGGACAAGCCCATGCTGGGGGATTGCATTGGAGAAGGTCAACCTGAGCCCCCCAGGTTTACCACGGAGCTGTGGGGCTGCAGACAAGTGGTAGTTTCCTGAGCACATCAGCCTGTGATACTGGGAAGCACGGGGCTCACCCCCCCTCCACCTCCCCACAGACACAGCAGATCCAGGCAGGTCTGGGCAGGTTTGCAGAAGGTGCTGCAGCTGCTCTCCCGCTTTCCCCAGCAGCCCCAAAACCCCAGAGAAACCACCCCGGATTCAAAAAGCCCTTACAAAGCCTCTGTGTCATTGCATGACAGAGCAGACCCCTGGCAGAGCCTGTTCCTGAGCCCCCCCACCCCAAGTCCTTCCAGCATCTCCCCAGCAGCTCCAAACTTTGCTCTGCCCCTTCCCAGGGTCTTTATAAAGACCCCCGCTGACAGCTTCTGCCCCCTCCCAGTAATTTACACCAGTTTGCACTTGCTAACAGGGAGACGAGGTTCAGGCTTAGGGGTTTCTTTTGCCAAAATGGTCCTTAAAGAAACCCCCAACCTGGGGAGATGCCGTTGCTGGGCTTGGTGAGGTTTTGCATCCTGCTGGGCATCGGAGCAACCCGGAGCCGGCAGAGGGGCTTCATCCCCCCTTTTTCTCACTCTGGTCCCCGCC